AAGAAGCGGAGATGGGACAGAAGCCTGTGGATAACCCCAAACTGGAGGGGGTGGCTGCACCCTAAGAAGCTGTGACTCCATGGGAAAAGCCCTCACTGGAGCGATCTGATGGGTAAGGATTGCATCCTGCGGGAAGGACTCACGCTGGAGAGGTCTGTGGACTATGCCCCGTGAGGAGGGGATCAATTGGAGCAGAGGAAAAGAATGTGAGGAGCCCTCCTCCTTTAAGAAAGGAGTGGCAGAAACAACGTGTAACAAACTGACCTTTGACCCCCCCCCCATTCTCTGTCCCCCTGTGCCGCTGGGGGAGGAGGTAGAACGAAAAGAAGGGAGAGGTGGGGGAAGGTGTTTTTAAGATCTGACCTTGTTCCTGGTTGTTGTCTCTGAATGAAATAATAATGAATTAAATTGATTTGTCCCCAAGCTGAGTCTGTTTTGCCCGGGGCCGTGGTCGGTGGGTGATCACTCCCTGTTCTCATCTGGACCTTCAGACCTTTTGTCACATTTTAATCCTCTCCACCCGACTGAGGAGGAGCAGTGAGTGAGCAGCTGTGTGGTGGCTTAGCTGCTGGCTGGGCTAAATCATGACGTGTGCAGCCAGTTATGTGTGGGGAATAAGGTTTGGTAGTTTTTCTGTTCTCTAGGTAGAGCTGGTTTCTAAGAGAGTTAGTTCTTGGAACAGCTGTCATCACTGAGCTGAATTGCCTAAAAGAAGGAATTATTTTTTGATTTGTTCAAGCAGTGGTGCCTGTTTTCTTATGTGTATATATGTGTATATGTAGATAATTGAAACACCTGAACTTCATATCTCACATTTCTTCTCTGGAGGAGAGGTCAAGCTGGAAGGCTCTGAACATCTGCTTCTTCTCAGAAAATGAACGATTCAGTTAAATTTTGAGGTTGCAATGGAGGAAAAATTATTCATATCATGAGCAAAACTAACCTTTTATGCTTCCCTGTTATGCCTGGTGTAACATAGATTCATATTGGTGTGTGAATAGACACTCCAAACAAGAGCTGTTCCAAGAAATGTTTGGAAAACAGAATATTGCCTCTTCACTTACTTTCTCATGAATTCATCAGCAACTTCAAAATCTAAATGGAGATGTTTTTGTCGTCTGAAAACTGATGGAATACTTCTATTCAGGCCTCCGCTGATGGTCTGCTTGCATAACTTAGGTCATATACAGAAAAGATGGGGTGGGACTGCAATTCAGAAGCTGCAGCTGAGCAGGTCTCAGCCATGTACTGCACTCGGAATGGAGGAATCAAACTCTTTCTACCAAAACAAAGGTATAAAACATCATCAAAGTGTTCTGGAACTGGTGCGACTGAAACTGTGCGTAACTGGAAACTTTGAGTAGCTACAGTTGCATGAGTTCAAAAAGTCACTGTGTGTCCTTGGCACACCTAGGATTCAGGAACATGTTGCCGAAGAACTGCCAGCCAGTTCCTGTGGGGTGACAACGAGACCAGTGGCAAGACCAAGGACCAAGCAAGGATTATCCCTCCATCTACTGATAATGTGGCAATTTTGGGGTTAGAGTATGAGTAGGCTTGGGGAAGGAAAAGAGGATTCCTCCACTCATCCAAGCACTTGTCGCATAGCTCCCAGGGAGGCTGAAAGAAGCAGCAGGTCTTGAGCATTCCAGAAGTGATTTTTGAAAGCCAATTCTATAGAATGTGGTCAACGGTTCAATG